AATTTAGCATCTGTTTGTACCTGCATATTTTAACTTAAGAGCTTTCATTAATTTTTTTTCTCTTTTTTTTACGCTTCAAAGCCATAAACATGTATATTTATACCACAGCATTGTATGCTGGTTGTAAAGCTCTGAATTAAGTCATTCTGTGCTTTAGTTTTGATTAGAATGATACAATTAGAACCTGTTATTCTACCAACTAATTACTTGTAGAGTGTGACATCTGAAGAATACTACAAGATTACAATTTTAGGAATGAACTGAGAATGTGCTCTGTTTATATTATTCCCCTATCTTCAGTCAAATCATTGTCATGGAAATGGGTTAATACTGGGCCAGTCTCTGTCCTCATCAAAATCTTTCTCACCAAAAAAAAAAAAAAAAAAAAAAAAAAAAATAAAAAAAAAAAAAAAAAAAAAAAAAAAAAAAAGAAGAGTAATAAGAATTTTAATGCTTCATGTATCAATAACATTTTAATAGCATGCTTTGATCTTCTTGCCAGTCTATCACTTGATTGGCTGAGCAGCATCCATCTTCCTGAATCATCATCGACTGGTGTTTGTTTCTGGGAAATTCTCTCCTTTTTTAAAATTTATTTGGTCATTGTTGAACCACTTCTGGGTGCCTCGTGCCATTTTATTTCTTGCAAGTGCATCTCAGTGAATAATTAAAGGAAATTTTTTTCACTTAAATATCAAACACTAAATTCCTTTACTTAAAAAGAAAAGGAAAGGAAAGGGAGAGGTTTTGTGTTTGTGCTTGTCTTCAGATAGAGAAAGGCTGACATTTAGAAGTTGAAAAGGGGAGGAAGAAATGCTCTGTATAATTTTTTTGCTGATGAAAACCCTTCAGGAGGTTAAATCCTATCCAGGCTGCATGTGTGAATACCTGTTGCACATGAACTAACAAATTAGCAGCAAGAAACCAAGTTTGACAGGCAGTGCCAGGCAGGCTGAAACACCCAGGAAAATTGCTCTCCCCAGTGATGGAGCCTCTTCTAAAAGCTATTTTTATTCACTATGAACCCCCAGGTTCATGGAAAGTAAACCGATCCATAAAAATACATAATAAATAATTTTACACGTGTCATGCTCATTTGCATGTGTATTAACCCAATTTATGGCCATAAAGGCAGAGTTTGTCAGTGCACAGAAGATGCAAACAAGTAGTAGTGGCAGAGAACTTCCTACAGTTGGGGATTTGTCGCATTTCTGCACCACTCAAAATTAATACTTGCTGTGCCTGAAACGAGGTTAAAATGACGGTGACAGCTCAGATCTGTGTGGCGATAGATAGAGAGGGAGATACAAGAAGTTCTTACATTTTCCTTCTGCATTTGCATTTTCTTCCAGGTATAGATTTCACAGTGCCTGTTAACTGATTATTTCTTTTAAATAAGTAAGGGGGGGAAAAGGACGAAAAAAAAAATCCCTTTTTCTTACCCGAAAAGGGGTTTCTCACTGCTTGTTAGATTTGATATTGGGAAAAGCCCTTCCTTTACTCTGAACAAATAGTTCTGTTTTTCACCACTCACTGTCGTGTTTAAAGTAAATAAGTTCTCGTCCCTGCAGCACTGCTGAACTCATTCACTTCCCAGAACAAAGCCATTGTGTAGAGGTCCACAAGAGCCCTTTTCTCTCATTCCCCGAGCGGGATCTTCCCCAGCTTTGTGAGCCATTCACCAGCCTGCCTGTGCTAAAATTGTGCCTGCTTTGTTTCACAGAAGAAATGAAGGAAGATTATGACACTATGGGGCCTGAAGCCACAATTCAGACCACTGGAAACAATGGTACAGGTAAGGCCTTGCACGGAGTGAGCATCGCTTTTCTTTGGGATCACGTGGAGCTAGCTGTGCATGGAGAAAGAGAGTGACAAAAATCTTATTTCTTGTTTTCAGTTAAAAAATTGGAAAATACTGACATAATTCTCCTGGTTTTTAATTCCCCCCAACTTGATCATGAGAGTGCAGTGTGCAGTGACCAATTCGTGCAGTGAAGAGTCCTCCTGTGTCCCACAGCATTTTAGCCCCGACTCCTTGTAGCTGCATCCTTGGGAGATGATAGTCCTCAGCAGTGTGAGGAGATCTTTTCCCAGGCAGGGTGAACCTTGGATTGTTTAAAGTAGCTGGGCCAAGATACAGTGGCCTTTTAATGAGAGACTGTAGAGCTTGATAATGAGGATGGGGTGCACCCTCCTGGGCAGCCCCAGATTTGGGTGGTGCACAGTGAGCTGCTTCAGAGACTGAAAACATCTTTTCAACAAGGCAAACAGAAACCCCTTACATAGATCCATAGACACACACACACTTTAAATGCATATTTATGAGATTATAATGTTTCTGGCTAATCGTTTGTTGGGGTTTTTTCCCCCACTTTTAGCATCATTTTATTTCCCCTCTTCTTAGAAATGAATACATTTGGTGGCACAAGAAGTGTGACAGAGATATTTAGCAGGCATCACCTCTGAGCCATCTCTCTTTTTCCGTAGCAGAGCAAACCAGCAAAATGTTCCTGTTGCTATTTTCAAATCCAAATGAATTCAGGGATTTACCATGTTCTTTCCAAAGGCCCCATTCTATCCTCAGCACAGCTGAATGCCATACATCACACAGTGTTTCTTCTGCATTTTGTCACAATTTGAGATGTTGCAGATAGATTTACACAGCTAAAAAGGAAGAGTTTTCTAGTGTAAGTACATTTCTATCCATTCCATTATGAAATTTAGTTCATAGGTAATACTCTCCACAAATATTACTGTAAAAGGTGGTACCAAAGTCTTACAAGGATTTTATTACTCACACTTTCCTAATGTTGGTAACACCCACATAAAACCCCAGTGCTCTTATTAAGCAACACAAGAAATTTACTTTATCATTCTTGAGGGGGAAAATAATAGGAAAATAAAACCGTATCACTGCTTTCTTCATCCATGAGATTTATTATGCATGAAAGGAGGGTGGCACTGAGGCACAGTTCATCATTACATATGTACTTAATGATGTTGCTGTGCAGAACTGGCTGCATATGTATCTCAAAAGCTTATTTTATTTCCAAGAGATGGCAATAAAGTGAAAAACTGTGCTTAGCACTCGGAGAAACAGGATTTTAAAAGACATCTGATTCAGAAACAAGGTTTGATGGTTATCTGAATTACATTACCAGAACCTTTGAGGTCCCCTATCAGTCCGTGTGACTTCCTTTGCACATGTTTTCCTTGCCATAACAGGCCTTGACTCCTTCATGCTTGCAATGTGGTCTGCATGAAGGGGAAGACTTCATGTCCCCTCAGTCCCTTCCCTTACACTATCTGATGCCCTTGTCTTCCAGCTCACTTTTGGGCTCACAGAATCTCTCTGGAGGTGCCCTGTGCCAGCCCTGAGCGGGGTCCATGGGGCATCCTGCCTCTATTAGAACCAGTTTTGCATGGAAGAAATAAGAGTTGCCCCTACCCAGCTTGATGCACTGCAAAATCATGGCTCAAGGGGCACTTTGCATTTAAGTGGTCTGCATTTAAAATGAAAAAGCTTCTCTGTGTGTTGCTCCTATCAGTTCCTTCCCCAGATGTCCCAAGTCCTTGGCTCCTCTTTACTCTGGCTGCCATGGGAGGCTTGCTCAAATAACCATCACAAGTTGCTCTGACAGTGTTTAATTCAAGTCTTTTGTCACTTTTTGAGGTGTTCAGAGCCCCTTTCAGTGGAGGCTGGTGCCTTGCCAGGTTGAGTAGAACATGTTTCTTTAGTTGCTGCAATCTCAGTAGAATCTTAAGAGCAATGTCAGATTACTTAGGCATATTAAATACTCTTATAAATTAAATGCTTATGCCAATATTTTCACCTTGAGAGGGAGATGCCAGGTGACTATGAGTACCTCTAGTTTTTTTTTTATTAGGAATAAAAGCTCCCCTTCATGCCCAGTGAGGTTTCTCAATCATTATTTGACAAGTAAAGGGAAGAAATCAGTCCCTGAGCTGTAGGAGATACTTCCTGGATATCTGGGAAGTGTTCAATGTTTTCTTCTTGAGCCTCACTATAGGCTTTGGGCCTGTCTTGTGTGTGTGGCCTCAGTTTTTCCCTGCAGGTTATAGGGCATCTAATACTGTTATTCAATTAAGTAGCCGAGGTGAGGATGAAACTCAACCCAATGAAAACATACATCCAACCAGAAAGTTTCTGTACGTGTGTGCAGTATCTGTGGTACACTTTTAGCATCAAATTCACTGCAAAATATAATTAGTAGAGAAAGAAAACTAGAAGAAAAGTTCTTCATTATTAAATCATTCTGCTATTGTCAGAGTAGCCACTTCCTAGTGGTACTTAAAGAGAAATATTGTCATCTGTACATTAATCATCTGCGTTTTTATAATGAGCCATGCGGGTTTCATAGTGAAAAAGCAGAAGTGACCATTAGGGTGAAAATTTAGGATTTTGGTCCTGCTAAATGACTTTGTAAATATTTCTGAGGATTTCTGCAACAGGGACTTGAAAACCTGACGTTTACCAGAAGAGGTTTTTAAAAGGTGAATGAAGAAATTCTTCTGGTTTATTTTATTCAACCTTTTATGATTATTGCAACTGGGATGCTTGCAGAGAATGGATTAACAAAATCTCTGTAAACAAACAGAAAAATTTTCCTGGTTTTGATTAGTAACATCTGTCAAAATTCAAGTAAAGATCTCTTAACATAATTTAAAGAAGGGAAAGAAAAACTTTCAGGGGGAGGAAAACAGAACCAAAACTTGGCAGATTGGAGGACAGGCCGTTTTCAGGCTGTAATCTGTGTGTACCAATGGGGGCCTCTCACTTCCTGGCTAATGAAGGCTGTGGTTTTATTAGCTTTGTTTGCGATTAAGGGCAGCTATCACCATCTCACAGGACGAGTTCCCACACAAAATAACTGGTCTCCCAAGCTCCTTGGACCTCTCTCTCACTTTATCTTGAAAGGTCCTAAATGCCTCCAAAGATAGCTTTCCTTAATGTGTCTTATTTTTTTGTGACACAGCCACATCAGTTTTTGGAGCTGAAAATATTTCTGCTTTCCAGGCTCCAATAATTAATTAAAAAAAGACTTATTTGGTGAGGTCCCCCACCATAGATCTCACTGAAATTCTTGCCTCGCAGGAGGGGATGTGCAGTGTGTGTGCAGTGTCAGTCCACAAGGAGTCTGGGAACATGGCTTTGTACATGGAAAATAAATCAGGGCATGGAGGGGGGAAGCAAGTCTTCCACCCAGAAGCTGAGAGACAAACCTAATATTTGTCAGATGGGTCTTTTTAGTACCTCTGTGTGAGCTTCCAGCCACGTCTGAATTGTCAGTAATGCTGCTAGTGAGAAACCAGCCCCACATGGGCACCCTTGACTGTTTGTGTTAATCTGCAGCACTGCAGCACTGGTTGTATTGTTTCAGTGAAGGGTCTATCAGCTTTTCCACTAAATCCCCTTGTTTTTAGGGGTTTATAATGTAGACGTAAACATTTGCTTTAGCTCCTGGATTGCATGTACAGACATAGAAGCTCAATAATCCTGAAGAATTAGGAAGCCAAGGCTGGTAATATCGCAGCAGTCCTCCACAGCCTGTTGGATCAGCCTCCAGATAGACTTGGGGGCACGAAGGAAGAACCTCATTTGGGTTTGAGTTGGGGATGCAAGCTCCTAATATTAACTCAGGCCTTGCTTAGTAGCTTGAATCCTAATCCTATAAATGCAGTTGCAAACTCCTCGTTTACCTGGGGGAGAAAAGGGACACATGGGACCATCCCATGGAGCCCTTCAGTTTCTCCTCTCTGGAGAAAAACTCCCTCTCCTTGCTTCACTCACTGGCTCATGGCCTATATTTGGCAAAATTAAACTTGTTTTCTTGGGCGTATTGCTAAAACAAGAGCAGGATTGGAGCTTGAGTAGTGCTAAGTCAGAGGGTAGATGATCTTTTAACACCTGGAAGATTTAGGCATAACAGGGGAATGACAAGTTAGATTTACAGCATAAAAAATAAAGCCTCGGGGTTTTTTCTGATAAAAACAAGAAGTTCTACACCTACTGTGATGCTCTTATGCATAAGGTGTGCTCAGTAAGTACCATTTTGTTATATTTCTCTCCCAGAACAACATGGAGGTAAAGTACTCTTCCTTCTTCTCCACACTGACACTCCCCTTCTCTAGAAGCTGCTTTATTTTGGTGTTGAAAGGGGACAATTGTTTCTCATGCTATTAACAAATGGTAACTGGAGCTGCAGTAGGACCAAGAGGAGCTCCGTGGCGGTGCAGCCATTCCCTACAAAACCACTGTGATAGGAACAGAAGTTCCCTTCCAAAAACCAGGGTCCTGTGCCCTGTGCCATTTGGTCACTGTCACTAAAATACTGCAGAACAGTTGAGAAGCTGCTCAGCTGGTATGAAAAATAGGGCATATTCGTCTCAGCCAGAGGATTTGATTTTATCGGCTAAAGGGATGAGGTTTACAGAGACGGATATCTACTTTTATCGATGACGCCGAGATCAGAGCTTCAAATCAGGCACTGCAGGCTCCCAGTTGTGCCCCAGTCAGAGGTCATGTCTCATTTTCACTGCCAGCATCACTGCCTTGCATTTTCAGAGGAAACTGAGGCAAAGCCTTCACCCGTTTCTAAACACCAAGGAGCGGGTTAGTCTCTCATTTCCAGTGGTTAAAACCATAACCCCCTTGATTTCCACATGTTTACTCCATGTTGATCCTTGGCATCACTGACAGCAGAATTGTGCTGTTTAGTATTTTACTTTTACATCAACTCCAGAACAGTCCATGGTGTTTCCTCATTTTCTTATTTCACCTCTGCAGAGATACATTAAAAATTTAATCAATCATAAGTTGTTCTTTTCGTTTATGGTCAGTTAAAAACAAGTATCTTCAGTTCCCTGCCACCAACTGTGTCTTTCAAGACTTGTTAATAAACAAAGTGACACAATTTAGAGGAAGAAAATGGTAATCTCCTTTTTTTTTCTTTCCTAGTATAATTATATTATTATTTGTCTATAACACCCCAGAGTTTTAAGGTTTTTCCTGTAAGCAGTGTTCATACTTGGAGGAGAAAAGCACATTTTTTGTAACAGGATGCTTTGTGTCTGAGTATGTATTATGTTTCATGGACATTGCATGGATAATAAAAAACTGAGGTTACATTTTAAGAAAAGAAAGAAAACCCTTGTATGGATTGTCAAAGTGGTTTTGGGCTTGGTGACCCTGTTATGGTCTAAACCATGTGGCTCTATTGCAGAAATCATGAAGCAATAAGTTTTTAAAACATCCCATTCTCTCATTATAAGTTAATTTTTCAGGGAGGGAAAAAAAAAAAGCAGGAAGATATGAGCAACTTTCTTCTTGTGCCTGACAAAGAGCAGCCTGAGGAAGACCTGTCTCAGAAAAGTTTGGTCTTTTGCTACCTGCAATTGCCATCTCCCACATGGGGACTGTCTCAGGGGTCCAGGGGCAGCTGAGCTCAGTCCTGTAGGTCGAGCTGTGCTCATGCCAAAAGCTGTGGGACCCCCAGGAGCCCCATGAAGGTTGTTCAGGTTCCAGCAATGAACGATTACCTGCATTACCCAAGCCTCATAAACTTCTCCCTCTGCCCTGTAGAGCCCCGTGTTCTTGTTAATTTAACTGCCTGCCCTTACTTCCATCCACACTGGTAGAAAGCCCACGTTAATTTTATTGGGAGCTGGAGCAAGGATCCAGCTGTAGCCCCAGCCTTGTAGCTCCAGTACATCTGCTCCACCTCCAGCAGTGCTGACTGGCCCAGGCTCTCTGGGACAATGCACTCAACCACCCTTTCTTTTCCCCCTCTCTTGTTTCAGTGAAGAACGCAAATTGCACGTCGGACTTCGAGGAATATTTCGCCAAAAGGAAACTGGAGGAAGGAGATGGGCATGCAGTCAGCATAGCAGAGTACCTGCAGCGCAGCGACACAGCCATTATTTACCCTGAAGCCCCTGAGGAACTGTCTCGCCTTGGCACTCCAGAGGCCAATGGGCAAGAAGAAAATGGTGAGGCTGTAATTCATTTTTAGCCAGTATCCTGACCTCGTGCAGCTGTTGCAATTATAAATGCACTACATGCCTGGGTGTTTACCTTAAAAATTGAAGAACAGCTGCAGCGGCATGGAATTTCATGAGCAAAGATTGGGGCTGTAATTTCAGTGTATTGTGATTTTTTAGTCAGCACATTTGTATTACTTGGTGGGTGAACTGAAGAGCTGAATTTAAAGAGGAGAAAGGCTGCTGCTCTGCTTGGGAGTTTGGGAAGTTTTAATAGAGTTTTGATGCAACAAAAGACAGAGTAGCCAGCCTCTTGCTCTCCAATGCCTTGATAAATAATTGGAGAAGAGTCAGTAGGAAGGATTCGGTCAATGGCATAAGTAACATAATGAGCTGGGGCTGGAATGCAAATTGCCAATTGATCAGGAAAAGTATTTCTTAGTTTTCAAGGCAGCCAGGTCTGCGGGAGGAGTGATGCCCATAATTAATTTCCCGGCGGGGTCCAGAGCGGGCCCGGCGAGTCTGCCGTGGGCGTGCGCGGGTGCCGGTGCCTCCCGCCGCCGGTTGGAAGCGCCGTCCCTCCCTCCCGGGCAGCAGATTGCGGCGATTCCTCTCATACCATCCCGGGCAATCAGCCCATGAGCTGCCATTGATTTGCTGACCTTTTGGCCTGCCTCTCTTCCCTCCCCTCCCCATCCCGGGGTGCAGACCTGCCACCTGGAACTCCAGATGCCTTCGCCCAACTGCTGACCTGCCCCTACTGCGACCGGGGCTACAAGCGCCTGACGTCCCTCAAGGAGCACATCAAGTACCGCCACGAGAAGAACGAGGAGAACTTCTCGTGCCCTCTCTGTAACTACACGTTTGCCTACCGCACCCAGCTCGAGCGGCATATGGTGACACACAAGCCAGGGACAGATCAGGTGGGGGGCTGGTTTTAAGTGATTTCTTTCTGTAATAACCCCTTAGAGAAACGATATTGCTTTGATTGGCAATCATTATTAATTTTTCATGGCATTTTGAAGATGCAGATCTTTTAATGGTAATAGCTTTAATTGAGGTCTAAATGATTTTTTGATGGTCTCTTCTAATATGATTTAATAGTCTTATGTTCACGATCGAATGAGTGTGTTAATTTCTAATTTAGAAATTTTATTTGCACTTTAACTTGACTTTAGTTTCGTTTTTATGTTCCTCAAAAAGTGAATGAAACTGTAGCATTTTAATTATACATTATTAAACATCTCAGCAATTTCAATTCCATTTTTCACCTAGTTTTACTTTGCAGTGTTGCAAATAGGAGCTCCAAGACATACTAAAAGATCCGCTAATATTTTTTCATTACTTTTTGAGTAACCTTTTCAATCACATGAAATTATGCGTATTTTGTGTAATCGTTTGTTAGACATAATTACACATTCTGAGAAGAACTCTTCCGACAGTACATAGAGGCTATCATTTGTGATTGTGCCACTAGAATTGGGCATTGCTCTCATTTGTATAGCCCGGCAGTGTATCCGCAATAAATCAAAGCTGTTTTTTCCTCGATGGGGCACATGTAATATTATAGCAGTGCCACATTTAAGGAAATCCTGGTGTCTCAAACAGGTGACTGAGCTTCCCTAGTGCTCCTAGATGGGCTGGTGATAGACCTGTGCGACAAAATTCTTTACACACCAGCAGAAAAACTGTTCCTAGGTGGAGAATTACTTCTAAAAACCCATCGTAAGGAGGGCTGTAATGGAAACTCAAATGGCGTGGTTAAAAGTTGAATAAATAGATGTGTGCATTGTGTCAAATTATAAAGGCTTTATGTTGTATTTATTTTTCTTAAAAACCTGAAAATCACAATCTGCTGGATTTCTCTTGGTAGGTTTTTCTCAGCAGAAGGTAAATTCAGTTAGGCAAACACACATCTTCCTAATCATGCGATTTTTGCAATTAGCATTTTTAAGAGAACCGTATCTTTTGCTTGATCTTAAATCAATACAAATGACTCCAGAGCACTTTCTCCTTTCTTTCCTTCCCATGGCTTTTCCAGTAGACAAACACATTTTCCCATGTATATTTTTCCTAACCTGATCCACTGTAAGGTTCTTCCTTTTGCCTCGTATCTTTAAAAACACCAGGGGAGGGAACAAAACCCGCCTGGATATTTATCCAACGTAACTGCCTGAAATTTCACATGCGAGAGCACGCTGGTACTGGCGCATTATGAATGGTAGCTTTGGTGTTGAAAAGTCCCCTCATTTGCTCATGGCATTTACAATTAGTAAATTAAAATGATTGTATCATATTAACAGTGGCACAACTAAAGTTTATAGTAGTCCTCGGAGGGCGATGGGGGGAGACAAAACAGCTGTTGCTGTTTGTTTATGCAACTCAGCAACATATGAGCGCGGGTCCCTCAATGGCGCGCGGCGGGCTGGGCTCTGCTTGATCTTTGAAGGTTGCTGCTGTTTGAACAAACCTCCCTGTGTCCCATGTAACACCATCTGTCTCGCCAGGAATGTGGGAAGAGGCAGCACACCCTCGCAGTTGTCATACCGTTTCGGCGCTGCCTTTTTTTTTTTTTTTTTCCTTCCTTTTTTTTCCCCCCCTTTTTCCCCCCTCCCTGCTCCTGCAAAAGGCTTTTGTGTCGTGGTTGCCTGCAAAAGGCTGACCTCCTACCTTGTGCATCCAGAGTGGCTACATGATTGCCGCAACTCCACACATGATTATCAAGATAATAATTATTTTTTAATTAATTTTTTTTCCCCTCTCCAAATTCAAAGTCATGGGGCTTTCCTTGCTTGTTGCAAAAAGGTCAGCTTTCTTTGATTATATCTTTACACCCCTTTTAACTTTCAACTTTCCCTAGCCCCTCAGAAGAGCACCAGGGAAAAACATGGCATGAAAGCTCAAGTCTTTCCTGCTGCTCTGTGATTTAAAAAAAAATTCCAGCAGCAGCTTATGCTGAAGATGCAGTCTCTCCTGCTTGATAATGAATTAAATCTTACATGAAATGCCACTAACGACAGTGTTTCTCTCTTTCCTCCACATGCAGTAAACAGAATTTTTAAACAAGCTGAGTCCCACATGTTCAGAATCTGCTAGGAATATTAAGAGCCACAAATCTTCTTATAAAACTGTTTCTCTCATCGTAAGATACCTTAAAGCAACACATTTCTGATGAGAGACTTAGGAAATAATTCTAAAGCAAATATCGAATGCTCATGTGAAAGTACTTTCTCATTTGTTTCGGTTTACTGCCAACATTTTGATTTTTATTGCAACGCTGATGAGACAAATAAATGTACATGCAGACCTTTTGGTCTGCTTGATGAATTCAGAGTCACATTAATTTAATTTTTGTTTTTTAAGCTTGAAATTCATGGTTTCTCTTGCATAAAATTCATGTTGGTATGTCTTTTGTTTTCTTCTTTTCCTCCCAGCACCAAATGCTGACCCAAGGAGCAGGCAATCGTAAGTTCAAATGCACTGAGTGTGGCAAGGCCTTCAAATATAAACACCATCTGAAGGAACACCTGCGAATTCACAGTGGTGAGTAGCGGAGGTGCTGGTGTGCTCATTTGCATTTTGTTTAATTAGCTGAGTTTTAAAGACTGCTTAAAATTTACACAGTTCTGCTTCTGGCTTCTTGGAGCTACCAAGGTATTTCATAAGTGATATCTGAGTCATCTCCTCATTTATCATGCTGTTAATACCACGGTCTTGCTAAAAGATTTGGAAATAGTAAATTTTCCTGCACATAATATAGATTGTTTGGTAGTTTGAGTTCAGGAGCGTTCATTCATCGCTGTGCAGTGGGAACCCGAAGAGTCCATTATATTTTCCAAAATAAAAAGTCCCCCCCGCAGTGAAATACAGCTCATATTCTCAGATAACAAGAAACTGCCAAGCCTCTCAGATTGAATGACTTGGGCATTTTGGCTCTCCTACTTGATGCAGAATTCAGCACACAAAATGTCACCAGGCTCAGCCCAGGCACAAACTGACGTGGAGGTTCTAACATCAGGACTCAGTTTCTCATACTGGTGCTCATATCTGGTGAAAATTCCATTTTGGGGAAGGAAATTAAAAAAAAAAATCTAATTTGAACAGTCTTGATTTGATTTGACTCTCTTCCCCACAGAGTGCTTACCTGTGACTTGCCCCGGTCAGTCTGGAGTCAATCTCACACTTTGATGGCTGTTGCCACCTGGAGACCCTGGGTCCAAACTGACCTCAAAACCTGTAGAAAGAGGAGGGTAAAGCAGTGGTGGTGTGTGGTCAAGTTCAGAGAATTAATATTTCCTTCACTATTAATCACTGGATACACAGGCGGTCAGCTAGGTACCAAATGCAAACTCTTGCAATCATAGCAGCAAGAATGATAATTAACATTTGGTTTTAATTATCATTTTAGGTGAAAAACCATATGAGTGTCCAAACTGCAAGAAACGTTTCTCCCATTCTGGCTCCTACAGTTCGCACATCAGCAGCAAGAAGTGTATTGGTTTAATCTCTGTAAATGGCAGAATGAGAAACAATATCAAGACGGGTTCTTCTCCTAATTCTGTATCTTCCTCTCCTACTAATTCAGCCATCACGCAGCTGAGAAACAAGCTGGAGAATGGCAAACCACTTAGTATGTCTGAGCAAACAGGCCTACTGAAAATTAAAACAGAACCACTAGATTTCAATGAGTACAAGGTTCTTATGGCCTCACATGGGTTTAGTGCAACTAGTCCTTTTATGAATGGTGGACTTGGAGCAACCAGCCCCTTAGGAGTTCACGCGTCTGCTCAAAGTCCAATGCAGCACTTAGGTGTAGGGATGGAAGCACCATTGCTCGGGTTTCCTGCAGTAGGCAGCAATTTAAGCGAGGTGCAGAAGGTCCTACAGATTGTGGACAACACGGTTTCCAGGCAGAAAATGGACTGCAAGGCTGAAGAGATCTCCAAGTTGAAGGTTTACCATATGAAGGATTCATGCTCTCAAGCCGAGGAACAAGGAGTTACCTCCCCCAATATTCCCCCCGTGGGTCTTCCAGTAGTAAGTCATAATGGTGCCACTAAAAGTATTATTGACTATACATTAGAGAAAGTCAATGAAGCCAAAGCTTGCCTCCAGAGCTTGACCACAGACTCGAGGAGGCAGCTCAATAACATTAAAAAAGAGAAACTGCGAACCCTAATAGACCTGGTAACTGAAGACAAGATGATAGAGAACCACAACGTATCCACTCCATTTTCATGCCAGTTCTGTAAAGAAAGCTTTCCTGGTCCCATTCCGTTGCATCAGCATGAGCGTTACCTGTGTAAAATGAACGAAGAAATCAAGGCAGTCCTTCAGCCTCATGAGAACATGGTTCCCAACAAACCTGGAGTGTTTGATAAGCAAACCCTCTTGCTGTCATCAGTACTTTCTGAGAAAGGAATGACTAGCCCCATCAACCCATACAAGGACCACATGTCTGTACTTAAAGCATATTATGCTATGAATATGGAGCCCAACTCTGATGAACTACTGAAAATTTCCATTGCTGTTGGCCTTCCTCAGGAATTTGTGAAGGAATGGTTTGAACAAAGAAAAGTCTACCAGTACTCAAGTTCCAGGTCACCATCACTGGAAAGGGCCGGTGCCAAGGTGGCGCTGGCTGCCACCAACAACACTCCCACTAAAGACTCTTTGTCAGCCAGATCTCCAATAAAGCCTGTGGACTCTATAACTTCACCATCTATAGCTGAACTCCATAACAGTGTTACTAATTGTGATACTCCTCTCAGGCTAACAAAACCTCCTCATTTTACCAATATTAAGCCAGTTGATAAATTGGACCACTCTAGGAGCAATACTCCTTCTCCTTTAAATCTTTCTTCCACATCTTCTAAAAACTCCCACAGTAGTTCTTACACTCCAAACAGTTTCTCTTCTGAGGAGCTTCAGGCTGAGCCATTGGACTTGTCTTTACCAAAACAAATGAAGGAACCCAAAAGTATTATAGCCACAAAGAACAAAACAAAATCTAATAGTGTAAATTTAGAACACAACAGTGTTTCTTCATCATCTGAAAACTCAGATGAGCCGCTGAACTTGACTTTTATCAAGAAAGAGTTTTCTAATTCAAATAATCTGGATAAAAGCACTAACCCAGTATTTGGTATGAACCCATTTAGTGCCAAACCTTTATACACAACACTTCCACCACAGAGCGCATTTCCCCCAGCCACTTTTATGCCACCAGTCCAGACCAGTATTCCTGGGCTGCGACCATACCCAGGACTAGATCAGATGAGCTTCCTACCACATATGGCCTATACCTACCCAACTGGAGCAGCTACTTTTGCCGATATGCAGCAAAGGAGAAAGTACCAGCGGAAACAAGGATTTCAGGTAAATGGTTTCAACTGTTTTCTGCTTTGAAAGGCTAGAATTTAGTATTTTGTGATGTGTCGTCTTAGAGAAGAAAAAGCCCAAAGCTATAATCAACATTTCCAACAAAATTAGCAGGGTTTATTTAAGTCTGAACTTGGAAAAATGTGGCGTAGTAGGAAAATAAACCGCAGTTAACTTAAGAGTACTTCTACTTGGATTCAGAAGCAGTACCAATTACTTTGAACAGGCATAATGACCTTTGTTCTATTAAGAGTTGAGCCATTTCTCATTATATTTGTATAGCAATATAATAATAATAATAATAATAATAATAATAATAATAATAATATCAATAAAATTCATATCCTAGAGGAAAAAAAGAAGGAAACTTTGTAAGAAAACTTATCTCTTCAGGGCATAACTATATTTCACCACAGAGAAAAGGAGCAGTGGAAGACCCCTCTGGAGTCACCTCCACACTCAGACACAAAGTTGTTGTATCCCTCTAAGCAGTTGTCCATACAGCCTCATAGACACTGTAATCCATTGAAAGCCTTTAGAGCTTCCATCTCTATATTTTTGGGGGATTGTTCATCCACCATTCATGGGAAAGTTGTCCTCTCTTCTCACAAATGTCTGGGGGATAAGAAACATTGACCAATAACCCCTTCCTTTGGGCTACCTACTGGTCTTCCCAGACACTTAGTCCTCTAATCCTGCCAGTCATCTGGAACAGCTTTGAAAAAAACCCAGAGATTAAATTAAATTATTTGGAGAGGTAGCAGCCAGGGCCCTTAATTGCAGACAAAGTCTTTCTCTGGACACATAATCTAGGTCAGCACTTCTTTTTGCCCAGGTACAACCTGTAATTCTTCCCCCAGTTCGTCCCAGAGTTAACACAGGTGTAGCAAAGGATTTTGTCCTTTGCATGACTGCAGTGAAGAGCAACTACACAGAAGTCTTGTACTTTTATAGCCTTTTACTGGGTGTATTCAGATATAATGTACAGACTTTAGTTAAATGAGATTAACTGATTATAGATTAATAATTTTTTCTTACATTTGCGCCTGTCCCCCATGTCCTATTACCGTCCATTAGTAATTTTACTGACTAGTAAATGTTTTATAGTTTCAAATGTGAAAATCAGGTATGGTTTTACATTACAGACTGTAATCCCTCTTTGCACAATAGGAGCATAAATAGCACTGCACCTCCATAACAGCTGTTCCACTATTCCAATTTACAGTACATCTGCCCTCTTTGTAAATGTATTTAAGCCTATTTAATCTTCTCTAATATTAATTAGTGCAAACCTAGTCTAAGAAAACTGAACTGTGTGATAGCAAATGGAAATGTATGTTATCATGCAAGTTTGCACTCTCTTTGGATCGAGACAAAATAAATATCAAGAAATTTAATAATTTACTGATCCACATTCATTATTGCTTAATGCTGAAGGCTGTTTTAACATAGATAGAACATTGATAAAAAGTGTTATTAATATTCCCTATTTCAAATTACAAAATTAAATATAAAAATATAGCTTGAGGCCTTTAGTCGGGAGACATACATTTAAATGGATTGCATAATAATAACATTTGTACCTAAATATAAAATTCAATTAAAACCTTTCTACAGATACAGAATACACCCAACTTTTGGAATTTTGAGAGGAATGATCCCTTAGCTGTTGCTTACATTTACCTCTGTAAAATAATACAGTATTTTTTACTGGCCATGAAGAGCCTCCCCTTCACACTTTCTTGGAAATATTTAGTGCTGATGCAGTAAATACTCTTGGTTTGTGCAAACCACATTGCTGCAGAGTGCTCAAAGACAGAAAGTTGGTTTGAGGCATAGGAATAGAAGGCTCCTCGTTATTTCCATACTTTCCATCAGCTGCAGTCTCATTATTCATATTCCTAAGCTGAGAGGAACCACCAAGGCATGACTGTAACTTCCCTGGGTGGTTGGTGGGCAGGATGGGTGGCGGGAGCAGCTTTTGCTGACGAGTGGCTCCCTCACAGGGAGAATTGCTTGATGGAACCCCAGACTACATGTCCGGCCTCGACGACATGACGGACTCCGACTCCTGTCTGTCCCGAAAGAAGATCAAGAAGACAGAAAGTGGCATGTACGCGTGTGACTTATGTGACAAGACATTCCAGAAGAGCAGTTCCCTGCTGCGACACAAATACGAGCACACAGGTAGGGCAGCCGTGCACGCCGAGGGCAGGATTGAGGGTCGTGCTTTGTTCTCCACAGTCTTTCATGAGCACATTTGTGCAGGTGCTGAGGCTTTCAAAAAAATATTTTGTTCTGTTCTGACTTATTTTTTTAATTTTTCTTGATGGTTATTGTTTGGTGAAGGACAGTTGGGTGTGATGGGGTAAATGTTGGTAGGTGCTGTGGCAATCATCTCCAAGGCCAAGCCCTCTTGAAATGAGACAGAACCTATCACTATAAAACAATTGCAACTTGATTAGCACAAAGTCTGCCTTGGGAAGGAAGAGTGACAGTGTATTTCTTGTTTCTTAGACACTATCTGACCCTGCTCCATTAAATCCAATAGGAAAATGGCCACTGACGTTAGCAGCATGAGAGCTGGCTCTGGCCAAGTTATCTGAAAGTCAGCAGCTCAGGGGGTTTCCTCTCACAGTGATTTTGCACACCAGCAGCACAAGCAGGTTGCAGTTCACTTTTTCACTTCCCAGTTAATGCCCAGGGAAGGTTCCCTTCTTTCCTGAGTAGGAAGTGATTTTTGTCTAGTTCAAGGAAGCTTGCCAAAGCTCACAATGCACTGTCAGCTTAAAAAATACTTTGGTTTGAAAAAGACCTTCTATCACACCTATGCTGGCCGTGGTTCCCCTTACAAACAGTGCTCCCTTCCCACTGTCAGCCAGGACAGAGCTCTCTGAGGGCCACACATTGGCTCAGCATGTTTCAGTTAGGGGAAAATGGGACCGGAGCTTCCCAAATAATAGAGATATCAAGTTATGTTGGACAAAGGGAATGTGAATTATCATCTGAATTATTGTGCAGCAGGACATAAACCAAACTCCAACTTCCTAGAGTTAGGAAAAGTTTACTCAGGAGGAAACTTGCCTTAACTTTGAAAGCTGAGTCCCGCTTCAGGAAATGAAGCAAGTCACATCATCCTTCAATCTCACCATTTGAGGGTAAAAACCTTAAACCTCTCTATTAATACATCTTCCAGGCCTCACATAACCCTTTGGCTTTTCACAAATGAAAAATTTACTATTCAGAAATGGATGGTGCCTTTAAAGCAAAATCCTTTACTTTGTTATTTTTCCTTCTTATACTTTTCTTCCAAATTTTAAGCTAATCCCACAATGGAAAATACAAAAGGAAGTTAAAATACACGTGGGATTGGGAAAGAAAATTAAAAGCAACATTTTGGACTAGATCAGCCAGTTCATTGGCAGAATGTGCTTCTCACTACATTATTCAGATCAAATTGTTTATTCAGTAGAAGAAGCTTTGAAGGCTTTACGTCCCTGCACCTTTCCTCTCCTGAATGATTTTATTACAGCCATCTGCAAACATTATGGTTTACTACACTACTACTGTAAAGCTCTTATGTTAGAACTGGCCTTCATATATATCAGGATCTGGACATATGGTTGAATCCCATAAAGTTGGTAGTCCATAAGGTCGACAGACATATGGTTGAAAGGCTGAAAATTTGACAAGCTGAAATGTGTGCAATCACCTTGATTTGCAAAATAAACTGCATTTGTAATAGCAAAAATATGTTATGGTCTTGAAGTAGCATGGGAACCTACTGCCTAGAAAAATGCCACACAGCTGCAACGCCAGGACTCTTCTCCTGCTTCTTTCCTCTGTCCCTTTTGGCTTCTCAACTTCACGTCCATCAATTTTATGGGACTCAGCCTTATGATCCAGAACATGTATAGGGTGTCAGATTTAATACAGTAGAACTAGAGCACATCATCAGGCTGGAGCCTGGCATTTAGGGACAGGAAGGATGGTCTCGTGGCAGAGGCACAGGCACTGAGAGCATGGCACTCTCCCCTGCCTCAACTCAGACTTCTTTTGTGAATTGCAGCAAATTGCTTCAGCTTTCTCTCACCTTCTCCCATCTTTGAAACATGGGGAAATGACACCAGCCCGCTTCTCTGGGGTGTTGTAAATATTAATTCATGATATCCTGCGATGGAGTTCACTGGATAAAGAGGGAAGTACTATTACTATTATTTGCTTTTATGGAGCCTCAGTGCATCATGCCAGTGTTTGAGTGGGAGCTCTGAAGGGCTTGGCTGGGCCTGCCCCAATACCTGCACACTGCACTGGCACTCTGGCTAATGGCTCATGTGCATCTTAAATGAATTTCAAATTAATTTGATAGTTTCAGGCAGAGCTTGTAATTGCATTAATAACATAGGTGTGAAACTGCAGTCCATGTTCAGTGGAAGGAACCGAATTGAAAGTAACACCCTCTTCTGCCTTTGGGGTCATTGTAAGAGCAGGCTCAGATTTTTCAGCCAACTTTTTGAAACCTAAAAAAGAGAAAAAAAGCCTTTTTTTTTTTCTGAGGGTGTTGCTGTTTTCTGAGCAGCTGATCACGACCTGTTGTAGCTTCATTAAAAACATGTTTTAGGAGGAATTGGAATGCTCCCTGTCTTTCCTGGAGAAGCACAAAATAATAGCTGTTGTTTATAACAATCTCTTTTTTTTTTTTTTTCTGTCGAAAAAGCATATATGTGTTTTATTAGAACTTTGGGACAATCAGATTTTTATTTGTCACCCCTTCTCAAGGTCCATGTATTGCAGCCAGTGATAGAACAAGGGTTAAGAGAGTCAGACAGAGGCCCCTAAAAATTGATCACAGAGAAATAATTTGAAGCAAAACATAGACAGGTAAAACTATATAAGCTGTCTGAATAATTGTTTATTGTTAATCAAGTGTTGTAAAGGAGAAAAAAGGAATGTTTAGGTGTTGCAGTGCAGCTGAGTTTTGGTGCCAGGGCAAGAAGAAAAGGATTTGGCCAGGTCTTTTTGTCAACCAAGAACTTTTGGTGAAACCATGTGGCCGGCTGCAGGACAAAGAGCTCTGGGATTACCTCTGTACACCATGCCTGCCACAGCTGGAACAGAGCAGAAAAAGGGCCACAAATTTCACAATCCCTGCTTTTTAATTTGTGCAGTATTGGTGGTATACTGTAATAGCTTTCAGCTTCATGGGGAGAAGGAAAATTTATTGTGTTACTGCAATGAGTGAATTGCATTGGTTCTGGCTCATCTGAAATTTAGCGTAGAGGCCACTGTTTGTTGCAGAACCAAATTCTGACAATTTAATTTTGGGATGCCATTGAATTTTAAGAGAAGTTATGTGTCCTTCTTAGAGTTTGAGCTTCACAGGGTCCTGTTTCCTTGAAGCCAGGGGATGCAGTGCTGTAATTAGGGTGCAGAGCATGGCAGGTAGCACAGGCACTCAGTGCTCACATGAATTTCCTGTGGAATCTTACGGACTCATCCTAATTTGGACAGGCTGAAATTAGTTGAGCCAATATGGGATGTGTCTAATCTCAGATTTTTCCAAGCTGCTTAGCACAAGCTTCAAGACACTTTTCCTTAAGAAAGGTGAAGAAGCTGGTTGCCTTCACGGCAAAGCATGGGTGCTTTGGTGAGCAGAAAATTCTTAGTGCTGCTGACAAGGAGGGAAGGCAGGAGTGGGTGAGTGAGCAGGTGAGCAAACAGAATGGAGCATGTAGAAATTCAGAAACATCCTGGCTCCTGGTCCAGCGATGGAGGAGTAAGGTGAAGGTTAATGTTTGTTCTGCCCTCGTCAACACCCATGTCTGCCACACACCAGCTTTGTTGTAGCTTCACAGGGGAACTCTCAGTGTGCCTGCTCCGCAACAAAAGCTGGAAACAGTTTTTCAGAATCCTACCTAGAAATTTAAAATCCTTTCATTGTTGTTCTATATTACATCATATTCTATTTTATTACTTGTGTGGGCTGTCGAGGGCCTCATAGCTGTGCTAGGGCTTTCATCCTTTCCTTTTCCACTGTATATTTTATTAAGACTTCTTTTTTATTTTTGTAGCTTTCATGCTGATGCAAGCACTAGTTTTATTTCCAGATTGATTCTGTAAACTAAATATTGTTCTTGAGCCTGGTAGCAAATCAGCTCTCTCTGGCTAGTATTTTGAATTCCCAGCTTGGGAGTTTTCTTTATTTAGAGCTTGATTCATAAAAAATTTACATGCTATTTAAAGGTTATTTTTTCTTGCTTTACTGTGATACAAGTTTAGAATTCCCCATTTTACACTCAAATAAAGGGGAAAAAAGGATATATTCTATGTTTGTGTCTGCAGACAAGGTCTCCTATTGAAAATGGAACAGGTGCAGCTTGGGCAATTATATATAAATTGCATTTATCTTGCACCTTTGACCGCTTTGCTATGCTCTGGCCACTAATCCATCTCCATTGGGACTACATCTAACATCCAAACCCCTGAGCAGCTTCAAAAGAACTGCCTTAAAAAATAATAAAAAACAAACTGTCATAAAAATGTTTCCTTCTTTCCTCCGAAGAGTGGGATTTCTGTTTGGCCCCCTCCCATGGCAAAGAAACCCACTCTGCCTTAGGCAAAGCATGGGTGATATTTAGTCTGGGACCAGTGACAGCTTGTGATCTGATGTCTTGTGACTTTTATACCACTGCAAATGGGAAATGCACAGCTTTTCAGTCAAAGACTTTTAGCCCAGGAAGATTGAGATATACTTTCTATCAGAAATTTTTGTTGTTGTTGCCTTGTTTTAACAGAAATGCAATTTTAGAGACTTTGCAAAGACATTAGTTCTAACTTCCCCTCTGTAAATTGAGTGTGGGCCCCCATGGGAGCCTGTGTTTTGCAACAGAGCAAAAAAAGGCCCAAATATTTCCTATAGATATTTGATAGAGATTTATAATTTAATTTCATTGCCAAATGTGGCATCTACATCACTTATCCATCTGATGAAACACAAGTGTTTTGTGAGCCTTTCTTTGATCTTCCTTGGGTCCATCTCTCCCAGCTCCATCCCCCATGGATGACACAGGGGATCTCGGATGGGATTAGATACAACCTCTGGGGTGGGATGTCTAATCTGCTTCCTTTTGATTTATCTCTAATCCAGTGGTGGTATGAATATTGTGACACTGCATGACAGTGTTCTAGGACAATGTGATGGCTTCAAAATGAAGAGTGGGTTTAGATATTAGGATTTTAGGTATTAGGGAGATATTACTAGGTATTAAGAAGAAAGTCTTCACTGTGAGGGTTGTGAGGCTCTGGCAAGGCTTAGAGCAACCTGCTCTAGGAAAGGTGTCCCTGCCCATGGCAGGGGATGAAATGAGATGAGCTTTAAGGTCCCTTACAACCCAAACCAGCCAGGGATCTATGGTTTTCTAAAGTTGTAGGTCCTCCTCATCCACCTACAATTGCAGATTTATCCCCATCCCCAGTGTAAAATACCTTAGTCCAGTTTTATTTTATGGCCTCTTAACACATTGTAGGGATTAAACACTCATTTTAGACGGCTGGAATACTGGGTTTTGCACATGAGGGGAAGAAAATAATTCTGCAAATGTTCAGAAACCCGATACATTTAAAAACATATTTCAATTAGTGTTGTAACAGCTGCACACTGAGCACTGCTAAGGTATGTTATGTGGTGTCTGAACAAAGAACTTTGCCCAAGCTGTCAGGTACCCTCAGATCAGAACTGAGGCCTTGATATGGATGTGATAGACTAAATAGCTCTAGCATTGCCCTTTTAGTGCTAACATAAATTAATATGAAAATATGAAGTATTTTAGTCTATTCATTTCTAAACTAATTTATAAAATATGGATGATTCCCTGCCAGGCTACATCTGTGTGTGGCACAAATGCCACATGCAAGGGTTGAGCAAAGCAGGCAAAGACTGAGGGACGAGCACATCACCCAGGTTTTGGAAGGGTGGGTGGAGGCAAGTCTGGATGAGAGCAGTGGAGGTGGATGACTTCTGTTTGAGGAAAGGAAAACTGCTGGGAGCTGGATGGAGCACAGCTGTGAGAGAGAATCATGGATAGAATAGTTTCTGTTGGAAGGTATCATTAAAAGTCATCTAGTCCCTGCAATGAAATCTTCAGCTAGATCAGGTTGCTCAGGGCTTTGTCCAATCTGACCTCAAATGTTTCCCAGGATGGGACAGAGAAGGGTGTAGTGGGCATTAGAAGTAGTGTGCTGTAAAAAAATAATCAGGGAATTCAAAGTAATGGAGAAGTGATGGTGGAGAACTGGAGCAAGACAAGGGTTGGGCTTGTTGATGTTAGGGAAAAGTAAGTCAGAGGGAGGGACTGAGATAACGTGGGCAGGATGCTAAAAAGGTGCTGAGGAAAAGCAGAAAGTCTGCAAGGAGCAAAAAAGAAACCAAATTAGCAATTATTGAGGTATTAGCGAGGGGATATCAATGTGTTGCTCCGAGGGTAACCAGCAGGACAACTGGGTCAGGGCAGAGGTTCATCCCATTAGGTGTTGGTAGAGCTGGGAAAGCTCCCACCTCACCCGTGAGGGTTTTCCACTGGCAGTGCTGGGCTTTGAGAGCACTTAGGCTGAGAGTGCTTTGGGATTTTAAGCTAATTTGAGTAAGTGACTTGATCGTGCTTAAATCTCCTGAGCTAAGACTCTGGGATTTCCCCTTTGTGGCTAAACTTGTGCCCTGAATCGCAGGTAGCTGACTCCAGCTCTGGATTTGGTGCACCCCTAGGTCAAGGATGGAGGTTCAAAGCCAAAATACATTTAAAGCTCAAAGCCCAGAATTTTCTTTGAGTTTGACTTTAAACCAACAGGTTAAATTGGCAGAAATGCAGATTTAAGAAACAGTTCACACAAGTAATACTGCTACAATTCAATATATCAAGTTTGAATTTTCTATTTTACTATAAAGAGAAATACAGGAAAAAAAGAAACCTTGTATGCGTGCAGACCTAGGAAAATCTCTTACAAAGAAATGCAGTCTGAGCCCTAATTTCTAGGCATCTACTAGTTTCCCTGTCATTTGGGTTACTTTAGCTGTGGTTTCTCCTGTATTTTACTTGCTGCCAGATCTCCCCTTCATTTCATAACACAATTTTGGCTTCCTTGAGGATTCGTTAATCACACCTTATTAAATGTGAACTTTCACAGTAGGACTTGAAGGTAGCTGTGACTGGATAGAAAAAAAAAATTAGCATAGTTCTTGGTATTCATTCTTAGCAACTTTGCTATGAAAGTGGAGATTTTTCTCTGCCTGACTTTCCGTGCTCTCATGTCCCAAGGAAAAAAATCAGACCAGGTTCATAAAGGAGCAGCTTGAGTTTTCCTGGAAGCTGAGATCCTTCAGTGGTCTGAAAGAATTTATATTTTTCCCTGCTGGATTTCCTTCCATGCTGGTGTTTCCTAGCCCTTTGCTCTTGGCTGGCAGTCTACCATACTCATCCTCTCCCTGCTTCTGTTTCTTTAAAATGAAAGAAACATCACACTTTCACAACTGACAGGATGGAAGGGCTCTGGTGTGAAGTTTATTCCTGTTCTGGTCTCATGCTGCATGAGCTAAGTATGATAAATACATTCGAGGAATCAGGCCAGTTCACTAATAAGTTCCTAATGATCTGCTCTAGCAATAGGGCATGCAAAGCAGGGATCCACATTTCAGGCACCAAATACCAGGATTTTAATACCCATGAAAAATCGCATGAAATATAAAATAATGACCAACTGGCACCGTATCTACCTGCACGGTTGCAGCACCCAGTTGAATGACACTTAGAATATAATTTGACATTTTCAAAATTAAAAAAAAAAATAAAATCAGCTGAAGGTACTACTGCTTGATTTTATTTTTTGCCTTCTGCAATCTAAGTTTGGTGATCGGTCTTCACTAATTCCAATCTTTGCACCATATGTTATGTCTGGATATCTCACGGTTGCATCATGCTTTGCTGAGTTTTGTCGTGTGGCATCATGCTGACAAGTATTTTTTGTCAGCTCTATTTTGGAATTAAGCTTTCAGTATGGCAGCTCTGGAAGGTGTTGAAGGCATTCCTGTGCTATTTGTGGCCAGGGATCAACCAGATGTGTTTAGGCTTGGCACTGGTTTTGAGTTTCAAACATTGGTTCAAAACTGTCTGAAATGCCAAAGGAAATACTGTTTTCTGCAGCTTAACACCACTTTAGCACTCAGCGAGTGGCTGACAACATTTTATTTAGAAACCCCTTATGCTTCTGTGGCAGATGTATGTATTTGTATTTGCTCACGTGGTGGGGGAAAAACGTCGTTCTGTCCTTGAGGGCTTCCTCCTGTAGGCAAGGGTTGGCAGAGGGGCCCCTGGAGTGGGTTGGGGTGGGTCCAGCTCAGGTCCTCCTGCCAGCAGCAAATCCCCCATGGACTCAGCGAGTCCCAGCTCTCTCCTGCTGTCACCAGACCCATCAGGAGCATCCCTGGGGAATCCATGTTGGCTCACCTTGGGGTGCTGCAGGTGGGGAAGGGCTGACCAGCGGCTGGCTTGCGGCTGTGTGGCACCACTGGTGAAGGCACAGAGATAAGATGTTGGCTTCCTGCTATTCATCAGCCACATAACAAAGA